TCAGACAAAGCTTGTTGTGCTCATCATTTTTCTAAGAAAAAATTGTTGCGTTCATTTGATAATTAAATTTTTATGTGTGAAGTGAAAAATGCTAAGGTTATATACTGTACAATTTTTAAATTTTATCATGTAGACACATGTGCAAATTTCAAGGGAGTTAACCTAGTTATTGAAATTACTAAATTTTTTTTTTAAAGAAAAACTATTAATTAAAACTTAAATACTTTAAACTATCTACTGCAAATATTTTAAAACATTGATGCAATATTCATAATTAATTTTATTAAGGGTTGGTTTCAATTTTTTTAATATAGATAGTTTCAAGAATTTTTAGTTTATGCTTATTATTTTTATGAAAAAGTATAGTTGTATTTTCAACAAGAATTTTCCTAAATTACAAATGTGGACAGATGTTAAATGTATCTCGACTTCAATTACTTTTCCACCACTGGGATGTGATTGCTTACGTCTTTTCTATAAATATTTTCATGTCAGTTGTTCTAATGAGCTTTACTCCTTGATACGTCAATCACATGAATTTAAATGTAGTACTATTGGCAACTAGGATTCACTATTTTACTGTTGAATAATTTATGTAACCATAATTTATATTCCAATAGTTTTTTTTCTTGTACTTCTCACCTATGATCTTCAAAAATTTAAATCCAACATCAATTGTTGATTTCCAATCTGATCGAATGACAGCAAGAGTTTAACCCCTCTGCTTTTATAGGAAAAAGTCCACAAAATGCATGCTGGGATACTTTTCTTGGTCAATAAAATAGGTTGATTTACAATGACTCAGTCCAGATCTACTTTGGCTATATGGAAGATCATTGGATTCACTTGTATGACCTAGCTTTTCTGCATAGATGTTAATTCATGGTTTGTAAACCTTTTTGCTTTCTTACCTGTGAATTTAAATTACTTATATTGTTTGTCTTTTTCCCCTGATACTATTTAATTTTTGCCCCCTCTTTTTTCTATTGCAAATATTATTAATTCTGTCCATTGAACAGTTGTGTTATTTATTTTGCATTTGGGCCATGACTTCTATCTTGACATCAATCACTAGCTTCTCTCTTCCTGAATCATGTTTTTTGTTGTCCTTTCTCCTCACTAATGTCTTCTTTCAGTCTCAGTAATTCCTTGTATCTTAGTGGCATCATCAACTTACTTGGGGTGACATGATTAAAAAAAAGAAAAGAAAAAGGTAATATATGGTGACTGATTTCTGGTACCCTAATATCCAACAGTTTCTGTATTATAGTTTGTATATGTGCTCAGTGGGGGGGGGTCAGAGGGTGTGCGCCCTGGACATTCATATCAGAAGGGCATCCAATCAAAGAGTGAAATAAAAGTTTACTTTATATTTAATTTGAATAAAGTTTTTTATTTCATATTTCATGTTTTTTTACATATTTTAAAAGTCTTCCATTCTCCCATTTCTCTGTACTAGGCTGTATAGTTCCCCACCACTTACTCGAGTCTTAGGAGCATACAGTCAGGGAGATGTCTGAACATTAATGGATGTGGTGTTCTAACTGGATAAACTGAAAGTATATATTTTACTACACAAAGTACTTTTAAGCAAGAAAACTGTTAAATACATTTGATGTTGGTCCTTTAGCTTGTTATAGGATAAGAGTTGCAGGATCAGGTAGAATAATCTTGCGGAACCATAGCTTCCTAAGGAAACTTGAAGTGCCCGTAATCAAGACCCCTATGCCAACTGCCTTGCCTGTGTCACCTGAGCCGATGATTACTGATATGTGTAGGCCACATCAATCTTCCAAAGAATCGGGAAATGGCGGCATTACATTGCGAAGTGACCTGGCATCCCAGAGACCTACTCAGTCACTGCCATAAAAGACCAGAATCCCCAGAGCACTATCCCAGCTACTCCTAGTAGTTGTTGGTCAGGCAACAAGGAACTGATTCCTCCCCTATGATTCCACAATGGGGAGAGGAGGGAAATGTAGAAGTCAAATGACTTACCTGCAAACATAGCTGAATTTTTGTATCTCCTGGGAAAGGCAAGCCAGCTTATTTATCTCATTTTATAGGAGAGCACCTAATGTAGCAGGTGAGTAGGTCCATTTCGCTGGAATGGACCTGCCCAACACATTTGCATGAGTGGACTCTATTCACCAATATATCTCTCCATTAAATGACTCAGTGCTGCATTTTAGCTGAAAGTGACTAGACCAGTCTACTTGTGTGTCAGGCCACTTTGCAAGCCAACCAATATTCTATAGTCAGAATGTTTGACTGTGAATAATAAACTTTGATCAAAGTTCTCTCTGAATAAAGGTTAAAATGGGCAAACACTTAAAAACTGATCTGCTTGTCTTTGATGATATTTTTTGGTTGTACTTATCCCATATATGGTACAATATTACCATAATGCAAACCAAGAATGTACGTGGTAAAACGTCACTACTCTTTTAAAATATAATACTCATATTTTCATGATAGCTTAAGTAATACAAATGTATATGTGAATGTTACCAGAAATAACCCCCTAAAACACAGTAATCATATCTTTTAGTTTATGTTAATAGATGCTAAAGCAGTAGTGAATGAATGCCTTCATTCACACACACACACACACATATAATAATAGCTGGCTACTCATATTCAAGAATACCTGTCTACTATGGCAGCTAGCCAATCCTTATTGCAGACGTTTGCTCAGGCACATTTGTGTTTGTTCAACATCCACAGAGCCCACCTGTGGTTTATATTGGAACTATGCTGAGCAGGTCTTAGTTACAGTTTCTGGGAGAGAGTGTGTTATCTAGCATGATCAATAATTTGAACAAGGCCAGCACACTCAAGCCCTCGGCCATGATGACTTGTGGCTTTTTGCTAGCAGAGCTATCGATGGCTCACAAGAGTTCTGTCTACCCAATTTCACTCACAAGGCTTGGGTCAACCCGTGGTATGGTTTTCAGGCACTTTCCAAAGGTGCTGATCCAGTCCAATAACATCAGGAAATTGCCTTCCTGACAAATCGCCCATAGTGAGATTTGACATATATATATATATATATATATATATATATATATATATATATATATATATATATAGAAAGGGAGAGAGTGGGTAGAGATAGATACATATTTAAGAAAATATATAGTATTTTGATAAGCTAATATTTTATACCCAGAATACCATACTGTTGGATTCTCTGGAAAACATGTCATGTCACTTCAAAACATAAGTAATCTTAGTTCTTCATATATTATTTTTCTTTGTTATCTGTGAATTGCTATGACTGGAGCGTGATTTCCTGTCTTCCACAGTTATTAATCTTATACTCTGGTTGTCCAGTCTATCCTGATATTTAACCAATGACTAGGATAAAAGAGAAAGATTCATACCTTTTCCAAGGGCATTAGTGTCAAAGTCAACATATCAGACATAGTCAGAATTTGAACTAGGTTAGTAGAGACAAATAACTGTTACATTACCCATACATCATCACTTGTGCTTACTGTTTACTTTTGTTTGTTTTTTTAAGAGTCACAAAGTAGATATGTTCATGTTACAGTTCTAAGAAAATATTTAAGCAAAATATTTAAAATATAATAATTTAATAATAATTCAAGCAAAATATTTAAAATATGTAAGCAAATTTAACTTCATGTTACATGTCACAAAGTAGATATGTTCATGTTACAAGAGTTCTAAGCAAATATTTGAGTACTGCTTTCAAATAGCAATTCTCTTTCTTACATTTCTGTTTCTTTTAAATAAATTCCTTACATGAATGAATAAATGTCTCATGGTCTACTTATATTTATATATAATAACCTTTTTCTGTCTATGGCTCTCATTCTATTCATCTATGTATATATGTCCATTTATTTTAGTTTGTTTTGCCTATCTATCTTTAAAAAAGACCATTCTTTTTTTTGAACCTCATGAACTGATGCTACAGATTCACAAAGAACTGTAGGAAATAACAGAAACCATATCACTTGAGGACTTTCAACACCAGCAACAAGTAAAATGGATATCACATGTAACTTGTGTGTGTGTATGTACATTATATAAATTATGAAGGTCGCTCCAACAGTAATACTTTCAGTTTTATTATGTTGTCCTACAACAGTGGTAGTTGGTATTGAACCTTTCCGCTAATAATCCATAATTTTTCATGCCTTTTTACAGGTGGTACTTTGGTAAAATGCCATCTGATATATAGGAAAATCTGAAACAGAGCTGAATCAGTGAATTCTTCCCATCTATTATTTTTATATGTGACTGGCCTATATATCTATGGAGATAATGTCACATAGTGGAAATGCTATTCAAACTATGCATTTCATTTTATAGTCTTGTCTATCCACTTTTGAAAATAGAAAATGGATACAACTTTCAAAAAAGAATGCTTATAATCTTTATTTGATTAACAAGCAAGAATGTTGATATTGATCTTAGTGTTAATTTGCATGATTCTCGGAACACTGTTAAAATATTTACAAAATTAACTCCAGTTCTTGTTTTTTAATAAAATATTAATTATCTCTAAGCATTGTCTTTTTCTCATGAACAATGAGTTCTGTCTAGCTCATTAGTCTAAACCAATTACATTTTAGATTTAAATGAGAACAATATTGTGGTAGCATAATAGATAATGTCTTGGAATGAGAAACTGGAGATCTGTTTGAATTCCAATTGAATTCATTATACTTATATGCAAATACTTTTAGGGAAGGTATAAATCCATCTCTTTTCCCCCAAAGCTATGGATAAATAACAGGACAAATTGAGCCTTGTAACCTTGGTTAGCAACCAGTCTAGGAAAAAGAAAACTCTGAATTGAAACCATCCCAGAAAGGGTTTGACTAACTAGCCCAAGATACACCACCGTTATTAAAGCTGCCATACATAATCCTAAGGGGTTATGGGATTTATAATCATGATTGTGAGAGCAATATTATCATCTAAATGCAGTCTATTCATATCTGTCTGTATATACACACAGAGTTATGGCCATATCACATTGAAACACTGGTCCTCGTATGATCACCAAAGTTAAGCAACATTGAGCTTTGTTAGTAATTAGATGGGTGACTGCTTGAGAATACTAGAAGCTGTAAGCTTCGATATGTTGTGGTGTAATGGCTAAGAGCTTGGAGTTCAAAATATGCAAATACCCTTGGGAAAGGTATGAATCCACACCTTCTCCTCCTAGCTATGGGTCAATTAGTAGAACTTGTATCAGTAAAAATCATAGTGATCTCCACAAAAATTCTTACAATCTAAAAATATTTTCTGACATTAAATAACTTGCAAATGGTTGATAAGCCATAAAAATAAGATCAATCAATTAATCAATATAAATATAGAAGTTTTAACATATATATAGACAGCTATCTAATATCATGTCATTTTTATGTTTATCAGAATAAATGTGAAAGTTATTAGTGTCATTATATGGATATATTTATACCAGCATGTTCCATTGATGTCTATAAATGAGTTTTTGTTGGGTATAGCTGCAAGGAATTTAGCGAGGTCTGTAATATGAGACACAAACGTGTTCAAAGTGGTTTAAATTAAATAACTGCTGCAACCAATAGCATAACTAGAAGTTAGCTGATTGCATTGTGAACCAGTTGTACAGTATTTTTGTACAATGAGTAGTTGCATACACATTGAAAAAACTGTTAACTATGAAAGTGTTCAAATGGTTAGCAACAAGACATGTGTCTGTCAGATTTGTCAAAATAAACTCTAATTTCTGGTTCTTGTGAATTCTAAGAGAACATATCACATGATTACAATGTCACCATCTTTTTACAGAGCCTCCTGCAAGAAAACTGGCTCAAGAGCCTCATGTAGTCTCTTCCATATATGAACTCAACCATCTGCCTGAAACAGATTGAAACATGATTCATATGACCAAATGACATGGATCCAGTCTTCTATGATCCAATAGCAATATTTTCTTTTTCAATTGATGCCCACTGACTGATGCCATCACGTCAATAATGGTACAGATGATTACTGATGATGACAAAACCCCATAGAATGCAGTAAACTCTGTTCAATGACTGATGGATTTTGCAGCACTAGCATTAAATTGAGATGTGATTTAATGTTATGTTCCACTTCATTGGATGGTTATCATTCTTAACAGCCAGCAACAGTCCCATTCTTGCATTGCCAGAGGTTGCCAGCAATTGTCACTGATATCTTTCCAGATTTCACTTATTCTTGGTATGCTTTTGGTATTGTTGCCCAGGAAAAATCTAGAAAAATTTGAACATCTGTCCTTCATTCTACAGTCAAATGGTGTTAATTCTTGTCCACATACAAAAATTGACACAACTACAATACTTCTTTACTTATCATACATCTGGCTATGATTATTTTTTGGTAGGACAAAACTATCCTATATATTGCCATCTCCAATGTTTTGAAACTTTAGATTATGGGGATACTTCTCTACATTCTTTTTGGATTTTGAAAATCATGGATCTCCACAACTCTCTATCTATCATATCTATAAGCAATGTTTGCATACTTACTAGCCTTCCTAGTTCCTGTTCTGCAACTCATTTACATCAACCTTGTTTGATATGTTACTTGATGGTTTTCTTTGCCATTATTATCTTCAATATACAGTGCTGTGCGAAAGTAAGTGAACCTCTAAGATAATATTTAAAAAAATATCTCTTTTGCCAGATGATCAACAAATCTTAATTAAACTCAATCAGTCAGTTATGTGCCATACATGCTTAGGCGATCATGTATCTTTTGATACATTACTTATGAGGCAGATTATTTCCCGCAGTAAGTTGCCATTTCTTGCTGCAGTAGACTAGTTGCCATCCAAGGCTACAGAACCTGGTCTGTCCTGCTATTTACCCATAGCTGGGAGAGAATAAGAGGATTCATACCTTTCTCAAGGGTATTAGCATGTAAGTGAATGTAATGGATTTAAGTGGAATTCGAACTTGGCTCTCCGATTCCTCAATCTGAGCCACTATCCATTACTCCACCGTCCTTCCTTAATTAAACTACATATTCATTAAAAAAACCTTTATTAAATCAATTACAACCACTTTCAAAAATTTTTATCAAGCTGGAATAAATATACTAATTAAAAACTAATATGTGCAAAATTAAGTGAATCCTTACATGTAATATTTGTTCACTTCTCCTTTTGGGGTTACAATGGATTTTTTTTGTTTTTTTAACTAGGCTGTTCTAAGACTTGAAATTTCTTTTTACAAACCCATTTTTTGTGGATTTGTTTTGATGCTTCAGATTATTGTCCTGTTGGAAGTTCTAGCCCTGACCTAAACTCAAATTTTGAACTGAGAATAAGAAACTTTCATTTAAATTTACTTGGTTTCTTGCAGGGTCCATTGTGCCATCAATGTGTACCATTTTGCCTGTTCCACCTGCAACAAAGCACATCTAAATCATACTACTGTCACTGCCATGTTTAATGGTTGGTATTAAATTCTTTTCTTCAAAAGCCTTATTAGGAGCTCACCAGATATACCACCTATTGTTCCTCCCAAAATGCTCTAGCTTGGTATCATCAGACCATAAAACCTTTTGCTTGAATGTTTCTAGCTTATTAATATGAGTTTTGGCCTAGTTGAGGTGAGCCTGCTTGTACTAGATCATAAGTAGTGGCTTTTTTCTAGGCATTCTGCCATGAAGATTAGCATTGTTCAGATTTTGTTGCACTGTAGATGTATACACATTGATTCTAACATTGACCAGTGAGCATTGGAGAAGTGCAATGGCAATAGCAGGATTTGCCTGGCCTCATCGAACAAGATGTTTACTTCCTCTTGCTATTATCTTTTGTGGACAGCCACTTCTTCATTGTGATGACATCATACTAAAGGCCTTCCATTTATAAATAATTTGTTGCATGGTAGATGCATATATTCCAAATCATTTTGATAGCCTTTTGTAGCCTTCTCCATAATTATAGGTTTCATCTATGTGATTTTTTAAAGCTTGAGGAAGTTCTTTTGATCTTTGCATATATATTTTCTAAATTAAAACTAAACACATTTGCATCCACAAAGTGTTATATTGTTTGATTGCAGTATACACAGCTTACCAAAAAAATGTCATTTTGATTTTAACATGTGCATAAAATATTATTTGCACTGGTAACCACGTAAAGCAAAATTACAAAGTGTAAATATAAGCGTTCACTTACTTTTGCGCATCTTAATTTTTAACAAATATTACATGTAAGGATTCACTTAATTTTGCACATATTAGTTTTTAATTAATATTTTTATTCCAGCTTGATAAAAATCTTTGAAAGTGTTGTAACTGATTTAATGAGGATTTTTCTTAATGAATTTATCATTTAATTTTGTTGATTATATCGAAGAAAAGAGATATTTTTTAAAAATATTATCTTAGGGGTTCACTTACTTTTGCACAGCAATGTATCCTATGAGTATCAGATTCTCCAAGTCTTCTTTTTTCATTATGTATCCCAGAAAATTTAACTCTTTCTGATTCTATGTATTGGTGTCCTTTTTGTTTCCATTTTCGTTAAAACCTTCTAGTTGTTCACATGCTCTGTGTATGGTATTCTCAGAACTTTTTCTAGAACCACATCTGTTTTCACAAGTCTCTTTTGTCTAGCAACCATTGCCATATAGGAGGATTGACATTGCATGGCATTTCAGCTCTCTTCTTTTTTTTGTTTATACTAAAATTTTTCTATCTGTCTATATCTCTGAGATGAGGTATTATGATTACTTCCATTATTTGAACTGTTATCCTCATCTTCACTGCCATATTCACAACAATCTACCCCAGTGGACAAAATAAATTCCAATCACCTGAAGAAGGCCGGAGCATACCACAGCCGAAACATTGTGAATATGGCAATGAAGATGAGAATAACTGTCTGAATAATGTAAATAATATAAGTAAAATGTTTCTGTCGCTTAATACTTTGCTGAGCTTTTGGAATTTATCTTTCCAGTGAGTTATAAATAGACTAAGGAAGGAATAAATGGGGATAGATTTATAGATGAAAAGAAAATGAGGAAAAATGATATATCTGTAGATAGAAGAATTTATTTTTGTTAAGAGTTTATGCAAACATTGTATTCCTTCAGCAATTCTAGAAAGTACACAAATGATCAAAACTAAATATTGGATCAGAATATATTAAAAAAAACAAACAATAGATTGCAAAGGTTGATGATTCATAGTAACAAGAGTTTAAATAAACTGAAATCAGTCATCTGACAGGTTCAATTCTGCATAAATGACAAGAGATTTCTTTTTTACTATTATTATTATTATTATTATTATTATTTTCATTATGCACATTTCATTATCATCATTTCTTTTTTAAACTGTGATTTGTTTATTTTTTCAGGTTATGTAAGAAAACCATTTGTATTGATTGGCAGGTGGTCTGGGAGTGCTACCCAGCTGTTCTTAATGGTGGACAGGGCATAGTTAGCAAGACAACTTTGAAGTAGTATCAGTGCCCATGTTAATACAGGGCGCACCAAACTTGGCACCAGACCATTATGTTCTCTATCTGCATAAGTGACAGCTCTATAACTGCATCATTATTCAACGACATGCAAAGAGGACACTTGCTGCTCACATCATGTTATAAGATACCTGAAACATTTATTTTATTATTATCAACTTTGCCCTTTTCTTTTGTTTAATCTTAATTGTCTTTTTTTTGTCTATTTCCTGTTTAGTCTTTTCTTTACTTTTGTCTTTATTCAATCTCATTCTTCTTATGATTATTTCTTTTCTATTTTTTTCATCAAGCTGGTTTCATTTATTATTTTCTTTGTTAAAAGCTTTTTCTTTTTACTTTTCATCCTTTTCCATTCTATTTTTCTCTATCCTTATTTTTCTTCTTTTTCTTTCTCCTTCTCTATATTTATTCATCTTGTCTTCTTTTTTCTCTTTCTTCATCTTCATTTTTCATTATACAATTTCTTTGTATTCAATTCTCATTTCAATCTTCATTCTCATTTCCTTTTTCTCTTTTCTCATTCGCTTCATCATTCTCTTTATCTTCTCCCTTTTCATCTTCTTTTTTCTGGTCTTCATTTTCTTATTTTTCTTTT